GGGGGGGGGAGAGAGAGGGATGGAGAGAGGGAGAGAGAGAAAGAAAGAGAAAGAAAGAGAAAGAAAACAAAGTGTTTTTCTCGTTAATAACGTCTCGACTAAGTATTTTTTGGAAATATTGTATTGCCATTTATGTCTGATGATTATGTATGATTAATTTATCAAATACTTAAGAGACCGGGTTTCTATGTACTTACATATTTTTTGTCTTTCTACTTTCCGGTCTCAAAATTGTAATCTTGGCGAATCGTTGGCGTCAGAACATTATATCAATTTTTCGCGTTCCATATTGTTACGTATGCTACATTGTTATATTACTTTATAACATATTTTGGTATTTTCACAAAATATTTTTTATTATATCTATTTTCTTTATTGTTTTACATGTTTTATGAAACGAACTATTTTTTTTCTAATCAGCACATCGTTGTATGCTACACAAAGACGCGGTCAATTGTTCTCTTAATCCGGAGCTAACGCTTCGCGGTAAGTGCGCATGAGCGACTCAGATAATATTCACCTTTAGGTGTGAAAAGTATCACTGACGCAACGTTTCGTGACCTTTAACCTTAATTTCTGAGAAACATTGGCGGACACCAAAGTTGAGAATTCTGCACGCTGCAGCAAATGCAGCGCGCTGTATTGATTGCTGGTCGTAGATATCGCCAATTTGTTCGATGGCTTCTATTGCATCTAGTCGAATAAAACAAGTGTCGATTTGTCTGCGGACTGTATTGGGCGATTTAACAATTCAAGAGATTTTTGTTGGTTTTTATCAGACACAGAGTACAACATCAGACGCTTTATTGAAAATCATTGAAGACATTTTTATGCGATTTGACTAAAGTTTCCATCATTTACGAGGACAATGTTACGATGGGGCATCTAACGTGAGCGGCAAAATTTCTAGTTTGAAAAGTCTTACATTTGAAAAAGAACCGCATGCTTTATTTGTGAATTGCACAGCACACACCCTTAACCTTGTTATACAAGATGTCTTATAATGCAAGAAACTTTATTGGTACCTTCAAAGAACTAGTAAATTTCTTAAGAAATTCGCCATAGCGATTAGCAATGTTCAAAGATTTGCAATCTGAAACGAGTCCTATCATATCTCCATTTTGCCCAATCAGGTAAGAGTTGGGCAAAAGGTGGGGGTTAGTGCAAAAAGGTTTAAACTCATTAGCTCTTTGGAACATTCATCAAGAAGCAGCGAAAACATTAGATATGGAAAAATTAATTAATGATTTTATAAATGAGAACAAAGTACGAAAAGCAACATTTGCAATAAAATAGGGTATTAGATTATTGAAATAAGTTTTGTAAACGGTGCGTAAATGTTATTGTGAACTTTAAAAATATTGGGTGTATGTTATTTTAAGTTAATAAGAAAAGGAAATTAAATTGCCAAATAAAATTGTTAAAAATTACATTGTTATTGTTATGTTAAAGATGTGTATTTTTAATTCTCTCTCTTAAACCTCCCGCAATTCTAATTTACTCCAGAATTTTTTACTTCGCCGGTCCTGTACCTAGCTCTCGAAACCTAATAGCGTTGGGGTCAGAAAAAAACAAGAGCTGACCCAGGGAGGCCGATAGAATAGATGAAAGCATTGTGGCACAAGAAAGTTAAAGATGTCACAATGGTAGATGAAGGAACCATAACGATATGAACACATCTTTATAAGGGAAGGACAAAAACATTGGAAAAAATGCACGGTTAAAATGGGGATGGATATGTCGTGGTAGGACACGACTTAGTCTGACCCCTCAGTTTTGGCCTTACCGGCATTGGTAACCTCGTCATGCATAGAAAAATGTCATGCTACAGGCTCCCCGCTCGCACGGACAGTGCTAACTTCAAGGCGGTGACCCCATGCGAGTCTGGGATGTTGCCGCGACTATATCAAGCGATGGTCGCAGTAGATCCACGTCGCATCCGTCGCATTGTGTGTGCTCTCTGTGTGACCCGCTGAATACGTTTGTGTGAATGTGACTGTGTTTGTAAGTTCGTATGGCGGAAGGCGGTGCTAGGAGTGGGTGATGTACGTTGTACGAATGTATGTAATGTGAGTTGATAAAAGTTCAAGACGGAGGTTATGGTGGACGTGATATTGTGATTTGTGATGCAATTATTGAGTGTTATGAAGATAAATATTCTGCGAAAAGTAGTGTAAAAAATTACACTTCTGTTCTAATTGGAAAAAGGTATTGAGAACCGTGTTTTGAGTCATTAGCTGCGTTTAGAGCACGGCTCATTCTAAGTGAGAGATAGTGCTTGTCATGGTTTCGTGATTTCGTTACTGTCAACGAATTCTTTTTCAGTTTCATATCAGTGGTAAAATATGCATCAAAGTTCAAACAAGAATAGACCGGAGACCCCAGACAACCAGTTTCTCCTAAGAGAATCTGTTTCAAAAAATGGCTCAACTCCACGAGGAGCCAGAAAAGGTATAGTTTTGCATATTGTATCGCCTGTTCGTGATTTAATGTTGAATATTAGGTTATGTATATGTTTGGTCATGGAATTTAAATTTTTGGTTTGTCCTCCCTAAGATTCCCTTATTTTGTTTCAATTGTTTTTGAAATGGAAGTGGAATAATGCTGTTCATTGTATTCTTGAACAAGAAATATGGAATTTTAAGCGTTAATTTACTATATCAAGGCATTGCTTACAATAAGTAATGAATTATCTTAGAATTAAATAGTTATGTAAACTTAAGAGTCAAAGGAGGTGATTTGTAAGTTTAAGACAAGTGCTATGCTATAGGATAATGTAAAGGGATGCCTTTAAATTGATGTCACTGAGTTGTGAAAGAAATCATGGTAATGCCATTTATTTCTGAACTGATCTTTATGATTGAAATTAAGAGTTAAAGCAACAAGTCAGTGTAATTGATTTTTTGCAATTTCAGATGTACTTTCAGTATTAATAAGGATTTTTATCATCAATAGAATCCATTCAAATTAAGAGTTTGGGAATGTTATTCCAGCAAAAACTTTTTCTTATAAACAAAGAAATTTCTTGTTTTTGGACCCTGTTGTGTTGTAGTGTTAAAACCTGCTTAAACATTCTTTGCTTCTCCTGTGGATTAATTTTATTAACACATTCCAGGCTCAGTCTCTGTATTCTGAAGTGTATTTCAATAAGTTATTGTGATGAAATTAAAGAGGATCTACAACTTGAAAAATGCAACTGATCAGTGTGCAAAGTAGTTTCCAAGTAATTCTTCCTACAATCATTTATTAATAATCAACCTTTTCTTGACCCTGCTTACAAAAGAACTATAAAAACTCAGAATGTTATTTATTGCACCACTAAAAGGGAAGATACCTCAAGAATTAAATATAAAAAATTAGAGGAAGATTTTCTCAGAAAATGTTATAAAGTTGCTGGAAGTTGAAAAATATATGAAATTGATGTATAATAATTTTGTTATTAATGAAATGATCTTGTTGGCATGATAATCTCTTAGACTGTTTAAGGGAAAGTTGGATTAGGATACCAGATATCAGTATTTTGAAATAGAACTAAAACATTGTTTTTCACCATACAAATACACCTACTAAAAACTGATGTGATTCTGACTTCTGTGTGAAGTATTGAAATAGAAGGGAAAAAGTATATTTATTGGTCTAACTAGTAACAGGATACATCAATATCCACTTATTACGTACTTGATGTCACGGAAGTTTCATGCTTTGATCCAGTGAAGTTTTATATTACTGCACGTGACTTCCTTTGTGTATCATATTACACAAAGACTAAGTCCCCTAACTTAATGATTCGTTTAAAGGATAGTCTGTCTCCATTCCAGCTTGTTAAGGTAATATTGACTGTGGTGAGTGTTTCTTGTATTTTGGGGTGTTGAGGAGTTTCTGTGCTTTAGAAAGGCTGAAATGTATCCCAAAGCGTAACTAACAGTTATATTATAAATCTTATTGCATGTGAAAGTAGAAACAAATCATCATTATTCATTATTTTGATAAGTTAGTTCTATTTGTGTGGATCTTGAAGCTCCTGTTGTTTGGTTTTGACAATGACTGTATCCTAACAACAATCTGAGAAAGTTTTGGTTAGAAAAATTGATTTAGCTAGAAATAATATGAAACAAGTAGTTGTCTTTTGTGTTGTTTCAAATTTTGATCTTTTAGTAGGAGCACCATATTTTAAAAATAACTTCACAAGATAAAATGGAAGTTGAAACTACTTTAAAAGGCAGGTAATTTTTGACCAGCCTGAGAAATATTTAGCAATTAACTTACATAGAAAATAAATTCAATTATTTGGAAATTATACCCATTCCTTGCAACTTTAGAATGTAGAGGAATAAAATTATTTTTATTTTGTGGCTTAATGGAATATGTATATGATGGTTTGGGGCCAAGCATATCTAACTGTATTGCATAGTTATGAGAATAATTTTCAAGATGTTTTAGTTTTGACTGGATGAAATTTGAAAATAGAGTTCTTGGCTAATTTTATAAAGTAGTTCAAGGGGAATGAAAGGAGATGGTAAAATAATGCAAAAATATGAACATCCTTGTACATCCTTGAAATAATTTGTTGTAACCACTTTGAGCTTTGTTTCAATGGAGAGCATACTTTTTCCTTCAAAATTTTTAATAATTTTAAAAGCATCCCAGGAACTTAGTATAAGCTCATCATTTCATGTAAATTTAATTTATGGTGGTGATAATATGACACTTAGGCAATATAACGTATAATGTTAAGTACTTACAAAAATGAATTCTTAGGATTTATGCAAACCTGTGACGTAAATGGTAGCATTATTACTTGAATTCAAAGAGGTCTTCAGTTTTCCTCTTCCTAAAGAATTTTAATGTATCACATGCACATATTTTCAAACTTTACCATTGTATACTAAAAAATGTATGTGGTGAAATATTATTATGTGTAATATTGTTCAGGAATTATTTTGGAAACTTAAGGAAAATGTAAATGAATGTTTTTTTATATGTATTATTTCAAGAAAGTATTATTTGTGCTGTTTGTATTGAGTATATTCGAACGTATTGAATTAACTAATGATTCTTTCCAAAAAATAATTTTTGTAATAAGTTTTCAAAAATATTAATTGCACTATTACACCATTGCAAATTTCCCGGAGGCCTTCTTTCATAAAGTACATTTGGACATACCTGAAATATTATCAATACATTGTGTGTTCATATAATTTTCTTCTCACTTGCCCATGTAATGGGCAATTATTATTATTATTATTATTATTATT